GTCGGCCCTTTGCGTTTCTGCGCTCCCCACCCGGCCCAGGCGTACCTGGACAGGCCGTCTGGGGTCTCAGAGCCAGTTCCTGGGCAGCCACCGCCGTGCTGCCTAAAAAGGACAGCAGAGGTCGCCCACTCCTGGAAGGAGCATCAGCTTGGATTCGCTCCCTGTGCGATCTCTAGTCCTGACTCTGGCGCCCACGCGAAGAGTTTGATCTGACGCCAGTGTGTAACTGCCTTGGGCCCAGTAAAGTGGGGCCCCTGAGGCAACTAAGGAGCTGCGAAGCCACGTCACCCCCTACACCTTTTTTTTTTTTTTTATCTTCTCACAGACTGTCTTCCATCTCGTAGGTCTCCCAGAATCTGCTAGGCTTCGTTCAAACCTCTGCTTGTAGTCTGGCTCAGTTCGAGGACTGATAAGGTGTTGGATTTGAATAGAATGGCTTCTTTCTATATTTCTGTTGGCTTTATTTTTCCTACGTGAATATAACATATTTTGATCATATCGCCCCCCATTTCCCTCCCTACCCTCGCCCTTCTCCATATCCTCCTCTCTTTACACTGACTTCTGGACGGTGCAACCAAGCCCCTTGCCAAAGAGGGATGAACCAGAAGGAACTGAGTGCTTGCCATTCCGGATAGATGAGCACCAAGTGGCCCTGAGGCAGGATTTGTGCAGAGGGTGGTGGAGGCGATTACCCTGATGACCTCTTTTTTTTTTCCTTCTTCTTCCTCTTCTTCTTTTTTTTTCTTTTGTACCGGGGATCAAGCTCAAGACCTTGTACTTGCAAGTCAGGCAGCCAGCGGAACCACTGAGCTAATGAGCTAAATCCCCAGCCCTCCCTGTTGGCCCTTTATGTTGACTTCCTGATATGCCAGGGAGCCTTTGGTTGAATCTTTTTCTTAAATTAATTTTATTTTACATTTTAGATATACGTAATGATCGCATTCATCATAGGGAATTGGTACCTGTACATAACACATCTTGATTCTTCTTCTTTTCCCAATCCCCTCCCTTCCCTTCGGTCACTCTTCACCTTACTTACAAAAGCTTTGTTTCCAATTTTTTTCCTTCTACCAAGCCCAAGTCGGTAGAAATATAACACTGGCTTGAAAAGATGAAGCCTCGTGTGTAATATATTTTAGAAACTACAGTTTTCAATACACACGTTGCTCTTTTGGTAAAAGAGGAAAGATCAGAGTAATCACTGAATTCACAGTGCTTAGCACTGTGCTCTTAAGTGGTTATTCAATCTTTCTCAAGTCCCTACCAACTATGCACTCTCTCTCTCCCAGTCGAGTTTGCATTTTAAGAGGATTCATTGAAGAAGCCTGGAGAGCTGTTCAAAGTATTGCTAATCTTCCTGGTTCCCTTCTAGGTAAACATTGTACCAAGACTGCTTAGTGCCTTCTTTACAGCAGGAGAAATCTTTTCACTTACGTTTTACCCAGGGTCTTTCCCTGTTACCCAGTCCCTGCTAAAAGAAGAAAGTCCACGTAAGATTTGAAGTCCCTGCCAAGTTCCCAATGAAATTGCAAGCACCAAAACGGTTTGGTCACAGAGAATTTATACAATGTTGGTAAAATTTTATCTAATTTCAGGAAAATCACTAAAATCCATGTTTGCTAAAAACTAATCATATCAATCATAATATTATTTCCCGAAGTCAAGGACAAAAGTTGTCTCTAGCTCACACTGACAGAAATGGTTTCTTGCCAGGCATGGTACCATACACCTGTAATCCCTGCACTTGAGAAGCTGAGGCAGGAGAATCACCAAGAGTTTAAGACCAGCCTGGGCTACATAATGAGCTCAAGGCCAGCCTGAACTACGTATGGAGACTCCGCCTCAAAAAGGAAAAAAAAAAACAAAAACTACAGACTTCTTAGTACTTGTGGCAAATTATATTTTCAAGAAAATGGCCACAACCATATTCTCAATCCCAGAACCTTACCGCCCTCCATCAAATAGTGGCATCTGTGCCACCTCCCAAATTTAAGTGGGCCTTTGATATTGTCTTAAAGAAAAGAATGTAGCAGCAAATGTGACTTATGAGACTGGTTTTTGACTCACACTGAAGCCCTGTGCTTCTTTGGAGAAAATTTAACTACCTTGAAGCTGCTATGCTGGAAAACTAGCAACAGAAACAAATGCCATAGAAGGCCCAACTTTTTGAGGGTTCACAGCCCAAAAGGGCACACAGGTGAATGAGCTTTAAAGTTATTTCATTCCAAGTCACCGTCTTGCTGTAAATATAAGACTCCAGGCAGAAAACACCTAGTTGAGCCTAGTCTATGCCTGAACCTGTGAGATAATAAAATAATTGATATTGTTTTAAATTATGGTCCTAAGTGTGAAAGTGATTACTTTCACAGCAATAGTTAATCAGAGGACTAATTATTGTATAAAGTAGTTGCCTCAGGTAGATCGTGAAAAGACTCATCTGACTATTGACAAATACATACCAAAGGGACCACAATCAATACAACCAGGGAGGAAGTATGGTGGGGCTATACAATCTGGGGGAGTACAATATAGAGGTTCTGATTCTAGTTAACATAGAAATCACGTTCAGCTCATTCTTTCCAACTGATGAAGCTATAGAACCCAAACAAGCTGGGCATGGTGGTGCGGTGGCCCATACACCCAGCTACTCTGTGAGGAGTGGGTGTATGTTGTCACTTGAGTGTGAGAGTTCAAGACCAGCCTGGACAACAAAGGAGACTTTGTCTAAGAAGAAGGAAGGAAGGAAGGAAGGAAGGAAGGAAGGAAGGAAGGAAGGAAGGAAGGAAGGAAGGAAGAGAAAGAAAAGAAACCTGAACAGAATGTATAAAGCAGCTATGTAAGGACTCTGAAAAAATTGTTTGAGGTAAATATCTGAAGAACACCAGAATTCAAAGGAAAACTGAAGTAGCTGTGAGTTTACCACTTTTTCCTCCAAGTCTCTTTGGACTGGACTCAAGGCAACCCAAAACCCAGAGTAGGGCAACAATATAGACAGAGAGAGCACCAGGGTGGACAGGCAATAGGCCTCCCAATGTTTAAAGAAAGTAGGAAAAATACTGTTTTTCTTTTTCTTTTTAAAAAATTTTTCTTCATTGTCTCACACATTAGGTCATAAGCAAACCCATTGTGGCAGCTGAGTCAGTGACATGGAGGAAGCAACACCCAAAAATATTCAAAATACCAAGAAAGAGGCCACACTTCCTCTCTGGCTAGAGTGGCTGTGGTCCCAAAGCAGTGATCCCCAAACACCCAAGGATATTTTTTCCTCTTCTCTCTAGGCTTCTGCTTCTTGGTCCCAGACATGAACAAAACTGCAGGAAATACATGACAGACAGGAGTAAATAAGACCCAGATTTCTTGCCACTGAATCAAGAGAACTCTAAGGAACTTCAAATTACCAGAGATTGTAGAGAGGGAGAAGTTCAGAAGACCACCCCATAAAGTTATTTATGAACTTCTAAATTCACCCCAATCTGCTCACACATCTTATCCTAAACAGTAGACCAAAGATTGTAAGTGAACTAAGAATCAGATCAGGTCCTAGACTAGCCATTGGATGAAATACGTGTGGAACAGCACTAAAAAAGTTCTAAAAGCTGGATTGGCTTTGGAACCACAATCCACAAAAGCGGGTCAGAAATTGTGATCTAAATTTGGTCACTTAAATTACAAGCTAAAATAAAAATATTAGCCAGGCATGTGGTGCATACCTGCAATCCTAGCACTCTAGGAGGCTGAGGCAGGAGGGTTGCAAGTTTGAGCCCAGCCTGGGCAACTTAGTGACTTAGTCAGAACCTGTCTCAAAATAAAAAAGAATAAAAAATTTAAAAGATTGAGAATGTAGCTCAGTGCAAAGATACTCTAGGCTCAATATCAAAAAAAAAAAAAAAAAGAAAGAAAGAAAAGAAAGAAACTCTCCCTCAGGATACAAGGCCCTATAATGTAACATTCAAAAGATCCATGATGTAACTTTAAATCATTCAGTATATGAAGAAAGATGAAAATCTCAATTCTTGGAAGATAGACACTGACTCAGAGATGACACAAATGTTGGAATTACCTGAAAATACTTTTACCTTTTTTTTGCTTTAGGCAAGGTCTCCCTTTGTAGTTCAGGCTGACTCTGAACTCACTATGTATCCCAAGCTGGCCTCGAACTAGTGGCAATCTGCCTGCCTCAGCCTTCCAAGTGCTGGGATTATATCTGGCTGAAAATACTTTTAAAGCGTCTATTATAAAAAATATCCTTAGGGAGGGCAGGGGGATGGGGAAAAGTAAGAACCAAGATTGATTATGTAAAGGTACAAATTTCCAACAATGAATGTCATTATATTGTATACCTTAAATGTACCACTAAAATTAATTTAAAATAAAAAATTCTTTTAAATATCCCTATTAAGGGATAACATTTAAGTGAATGTAAAGATTAAGAGTCTCAGCAAAGGAGTAACTATAAAAGAAGAGCCAAACTGAAATTTTAAAACTAAAGAATACAGAAAGAATAAAACTACAGACTAAAGTAAACTAAAGAACTAATGAAATTTAAATGTGCAGACAGGCACAAGAGAAGAATGGAGCTGGTTCAGTAAATTCAAAAACAGACTGTGATGGTT